GGTCGCAGGTCGGGCAGATGTCCCCGCACAAGCTCAGCACGCTCATAAATCAAAGCTGGCAATATGAACTTCAGCAGAGGCCGCCCAGTCTTCATTTATCATTATTAAAGATATGTCAACACTTCAGCAGCTGATTTATAGCGGGTAATTTAGATCATGAATTGTTTCTGATACAATAAACTCTTCCTATCCGAAGCCCATCGCAGGCTCTCTCTTGATTAGGAATTAATGACTCATAAAGAAGAGGCCCCCCGAGCAGGCTGAGTTTGGATGCAGGGAAGAGGGCAACTATTAATATTTCCCCTCCCTGCCCTGCGTGTGCACCCCGCATCTCGAAGCCGCTGGCCCAGGGCCCCGGCAGGCCTCACTCGGTTCAGGTGGGGGCGGCAGCGCAGTGCTGGCACTCGCGTTTCACAGCAAACACGCTTAGCTGCGATTCTTTCTGCCACCGGCGAAGCTTTGCAGTCCTTTATCTCCGAGAAAGGCCATCGGCTCTGCCAGCGCCACCGAAACAGCTCTGCACTGGTCAGGACTTGAGTTTATCCTGTTCCTCCGGTCATTTACTGCTGGCAAGGTGTTGGTCTAAGAGTGTGGGCCGGCTGCTGCTGGCTTCCTCGCGCATGTGTGCAGCAGCGTCGTGCAGCCGACTGCAGCGGGACAGCTCGTCCTGTCTCAGCAAACTAGCCACGGGCGCTGGGTTGATAGGGCGCCTCAGTGCTCCTTCGTAAAGAAACTAGCAAGGCCCGAACTGACGTCTTCTGGGGTCTAAGCGAGGTCAAATCTGGTCTAACTCAGAAGCCAAGCACGTGTGGGCTCCCGGGGCACCGGACCGGGACCCAGGCAGCGCAGAATCAATCAGGTGGCATGAAATGACCGCAGATCCCTGCCTCCGGGGCACCGGACCGGGACCCAGGCAGTGCAGAATCAATCAGGTCGCGGCAGCAGGTGGCATGAAATGACCGCAGATCCCTGCCGCAGCCGCATGCACGGTGCCCAGGGGCAGCAGGGAGGGGGACCACGCTGGGCTGGGGTGGGGGGCGGCAGGTGGAGCCCCTGCCCCTCACACTGCTCCTTTTCCTTCCACCCGGCGCATGCTCCGAGGCTGCTGTGAAGAGCAGGCAGCGCCGAGCTGCCTCGACAGGGTGCAGGAAGGGATCAGGTCGACGAGGAGGATGGAGCGCGGCAGGATGCGACGCGCACCCCGGGGATGCTCGCAGTCGAGGTTTCATTGCGGCTCCTGCTCCCCGAGGGCTGCGTGACGTGTCCAAGCACCCGCCGAAAGACCCGTTGCTTCTGTCTCACCCGCAGCTGCGGTTCTGCAAGGGGCTGTTGGGCACTGCCGGTGTCCTGGGCTGCCTGGGATCCCCCAGGTCCGCCCGCAGGCAGCAAGAGAGGAGGGATCCTTTGCCAGCCGCCTCTCCTGAGGGGCACGATGCTGCCCTGCTAACACGGGGTCTGCATGGAGCTGCTTGCCCATGGCAGCTTTCCTACTGCCCGGGGCTTTTGGCAAGGAACCGGCGTCAGACGGTGCCGTGGATTGCCTGATGGCCCGAGCGCATTTGCAGAGCTGGCCTCTCTTGGACAGTGCCTGCACCAGAAGCCTCCAACCCGCAGTTCTCATCCTTGTCCGCAGAGGAAAGCTGTGCTGGGGCCACGTAGGGAGGCAGTCCGCCAGCCTTTGGCCCTGCCTCAGGCCTGGCCCTGGCTCGGAGGAAGGGAGGGGAGCCTGGGGAGACCCGGGTGCTTCGCAGAACTGCACCACCCTGTGCCCGAGCATCCTGCTGCTCAGCCGCGCTGCAGGGGAGGCAGGCCGGCTCCGCCACAGCCCCCGCTGCGGGGAAATACAAATGGGCCCGAAGAAGCAGAGTCCTGCATTGCACGGAGGTGCCTTCCTTGATGGGGGTTGTGCTGCCCACAGCTCCCCACCCGCCCGCACGGCTTTGAATCAGGATGGAGGGCCCCGCGGGAGGCAGGCGCTCGCCAGCTCCGTGCTCCAACGTCCGGCTGCTCGGCAGCTGCTCTGCACCCGGGATAATTGTGTCAAAGCCTGGGGTGTCACCAAGGGTCTCCAGCCATCTGCAAGCAAAGAGCTCTCGCTCTCCAGTCCTGAGTGCCGGCACCCAATGTCCTCGCTGGTCCAAGCCGTGCTGAAGGACACTGGACCATTATTCCATGTTTTCCCCTCTAATCCCATCCCAGGTGAGAGCAAAATCAAAGCGCCACACGCCAGATCCGGCTGTCGGTTCAGGCAGCTGCCCAGCAGTGTCAAGGGAGGTTTTCGTCTTGCTGGGGCCCGTGCTGGCTCCGGGACCAGATCCAAGGTACCAAAGTCGGCCGTGCGAGGAGCTTAGCATCTGAGGCAGGAGTTAGAGCAGGACAAATTGGTCTGGAGCTTAGAGTCCGGCCCATGAAAGTTGAGAGTCTCTGCAGAGGAGGCTGCTGCTAAGGGGTCACAGAGAGAAATCAAAATGCCTGGATCCTGCTGCTCTGCTTTCTGCTCCCTGCCCTGCCTGCTGCTGCTCTGCCTGTTGTCCCCCCGACCGGCTCTTGGGGTGCACGGGGCATTTCCAGCCTCTGGGGTGCTGCCGCGGTGGGAGCAGGACCTAAGCATGGAGGGAAGCACGATGGAGGCTGCTGGAGCCAGGAAGACGGAGGGGCCAGAGGAGCCTGGGACCAGACGGGCACCGTCAGCAGGGCCGTGGGCCCGTTCCCTGGCACCTGGCAGGGGCTGAGGAGGGACGTGGAGCTCTCCCAGGACTCAGTGCACGGGTGGAGGTTGCGCCATTAAAGCAGCGCAAGGGAGGAGCGGCGAAATGGCTTGATTGACTGCAGCACCAAGGGCACTGAGTGGGGGGGCACGCTCCCCCGCGCCCCTTCCCAGGCCCTCGCCGAGCTGCGCGGGGCGGCAGTTCAGGGCTCACTCCCCTTCTCACCTCCTCAACATCTGCTTCACGGGAAGAAAGAGGCTTGCTAATTACCAGCTTTTTACGGGTCGGAGAAACTGGATCGCGTCCCAGAGGCAGAGCTGAAAGCTGCCCTTAGATGTAGCTTGGCAGGATGATAGCTCAGAGCCTCTGCGTGTCCTGCAGCTTGCGCCGGCACGTTCCCAGAGCGGCCCAGCTACAAAGCAGCGATCGGGGATTTTCATATGAAAAGGCTGGTAGTAGACGTGCCCCTTCTCAGGGTCAGAGCATCACAGAGCAGCCGGGCGGGCAGGGCTCAGGCGGCATCTAGTCCGCCACTGCTCCAGGCAGGATCATCCCTGTCTGAGCCAGCCCGGGCAAGTCTGTCTAAATCGCTCTTAAAAACAGCCAAGGACGGAGACCCTCAGCCTCTCTGGCAGCCTGCTGCAGTGCTGCACCACCCTCCTAGTGCCACACTTCCTCGCCTCCAGCCTAAATTCCCCCCGCTGCGATCTGAGACCTTTGCTCCTCCTCTTGCCCCCGCAGCCACAGAAGATCAGTCCATCTCCATCCTTCAGGTACTGGGGGATGTTACCTGTTTCCCTCTCCGCCTCGTCTTCTCATCCCGGTTCTCCCAGCCTGACAGGGCTATTCCACCCGCACGCCGGGTTCGAGAGCTCGTCAACATGCAAACACAGGACCCTGGTGGTGCGAGCCCGCTGCTTTTTGTGGCACGACAGCCGGAGGCCCAGAGCTCCCTGTGAAATCGTTAGCACCAGGAGCCGTCGAGCGCTGACCCTGCAGCAAGGGCGTTTCAGCTCCTGGGCTGACCCTGGCAATGCAAGAGGTGGAGGCTCCCGGTCCCGTGCACGCAGGAAGCCTTGCAGCGGGCCCAACCCCAGTCTGTTCGCTCCCAGCAGTGAGCCTTTACCGGGCCCTAAATCAGCCTTCTGCAATGGCATTTCTATTAGCACCGAAAGACTTCCTCATTGTAGCCGTGCTGCTCTAAGGACATAGGCAGACAAAGTTCCTTGAAGCCTGACGAAGGGTTTTCGAACCCAAAATCCTCCTTAAAAATTGTTCTCCAACTATCTAAGTTGGTTTAATAAAAGATATCAGATTCACTCAAATGACTTCCTCTGCACTCGTCTCGCCCGTGCCCAATGCTGGTCAGTAAATTCAAGCCCCCCTTGCCCCCTCTGCGAGCTGTCACATCCCCCAGTGAAGAGCGCGGAGGTAGCGGGCTGCCGGGGAGCGTTCCCAGCGCCCGCTGAGGTGTAACGATGCGTTTTGTTCCCTCGCAGGGAGATAAATCAAGTATCGCAGCCTTCCCCGGTACTTAGGGCTGTATCGGGAGCCGCCGCTCCCTTGCGGGTGGGGATGGAATGGGATTTGTCTCGCTTTGTTGCTATCTGGGCTGCCCGAGATCTCCGGCGTCCGTAATTTATATTCCATTGTGCGGCGCTGACTGAACCTCCTATCAGATAATTGATTCCCTTTGTTTATTCCTAATCCTCTAAATCTCCTTTCTGATACTAATTATCTGTCCCGGGCCTCCATTGTCCTGCCAGCTCCGTGGGCTGCACATGCCTTGGCGGGGCCCCGCGGTCTCCCCGTCCCCCACCTGCCTCCTGGCGAAGGCCCTGGCGTGCCCTGCGGTGGGGTGCTCGGGCTGGGGAGGAAAGGGCACGTGGCCAGCCGGAGCTGGGGGCTCTTGGCAGGGCGGCGGGAGTGGATAAGGGCTAGGGCAGAGGCAGCGGGGGCCATGGGGCTGGTCCCGGGTAGCAGCATTTAAGTGAGAGGTGCTGGGGACGGCTGGTACGGGGACCTTGTCCTTCCTTCTGCTTCCTCCTCCTGGCACCGGGGAGAGGCCTTGGGTCTTGGTAGGTGCAAGGCGAAAAGGACGTAACCCCCGCCATGCGGTCCTTTCAATGACCCCACGGCCTGGGGGTAGGTCATGCGCTCACATTCACTCTTGCGTGTGCACACCCATATGCTTGCGTGTGCGCAGACACACACAGATCCATCCTTTGCTTTCCTCCTCCGGGATTCCCATGGAGCAGCGAGTCCAGGGCTGGTCTGCAGAGTCCCCGGCACCTGCGGGTAGCAGGGGGCTCGAGGGGTGTCCTGGCCCTTGGTGTTTCTGCAGCATCACGTCATCCCGCTCATCCCCGCGAGGCTGTGGCAGCGCCATGGCTCCTTTTCACCCGCTTTCATCACCACCCTCGCAGCTCCCTCCTGCCCGGACTGGGCCGCTGGGCCATGGTGCTGCAGGGGGTGGAGGGGTCTCAGCTCCCGGAGATGCCCAGCCAGGGTCAGCTTGTGCAAGGCTGTGCTGGAGCCTCGGCCGGGGGTATCGGGACGGAGCCTGGGGGCAGACTGGCTGGGCAGGACCCCACCTGCTCACGTGGAAAACTCAGCTGTGTGCAAAGCAGGCCGGGGGCTGGGGCCGGCTGCACTGACATCCCTGCTTCACCTGCCTCCCCTCGCTCGGGCTGACATCTCGAGGCACGGCTAGACGTTGCGGAGAGAAATGGCCGCGTTGTCACAGCTCCCCATTCATCACCGCTCAGCTGTGCATTAGCCTGGGCCGCGCTCGGGCCGTGCGGCTGCCGCGACGGGCCATATGTCAGATAAAGTGGGAAGCGAACGAGCTGATATATTGTATGGCAGAGAAAGCAGGGGGATGTCTTGCATATTAACGCGGAGGAGGCTAGCGCTGGGACAAGGAGGCTAAGCACGGGCTGTCGGCTTTCTCTAGAGACAAAACCTTTTATCCTAGGGTCCCACAGCCTGGGTCCAAGCCCATGGTCCCCTTTCATGTGCCTGCGACATATCCAAAAGGACGCTTTTTCGCAGGACAAGCTGGCGTTCAAGCTGCCTGAGTCAAGGACTGTCCCTAGGACAGTTGTGATGGAGTCAAAACCTGGGACAGCCAGACCTGGGATAAACTCAATGCCTGTTTCTACCCAGATGTCCACCTTGCTGAGCCCTGCTTCCCCAGCAGAGAAAGAGCCTGGTGGGGATCACGTGCACACACACACACATGTGTGCCCACGCGTGTGCACCTACGCAGGCTCCAGGTCCATCCTCCACGCCAAGACTCTTTAGCACCAGTCCTTTTTGTCTGGGCACCACCGTGGTCCCATTTCCCGATCCAGTGTTGCTCTGAGAGCTGGCAGTGACGGGGGCTGGATGACTGTGGCCTGACACCCCCGGCACATGCATGCTGGGGGTCCAGGGGCAGGTGTGACCGGGGATAGGGAAAGGGGGATCGTGCCCCTTTGTGCCTTCCCTGGGGGCTGCCCAGCCTGCTGAGACCCCAGGGTGGGCAA